AATTGTTTCGTCCAAACAGGACGTATTCCGAATTGGACGTATTCTAAAGCAGACGTATACCGAGGTACCACTGTATTAATCATTTGTTTTGTCAGATCGAATTTGCTAATTTCTGTGATTTTTCGTTTACATTAGATGAGCAATGGTTTTCCATTGCTCATCTAATGTAAACGAAAATCACAATCATTAAACACAAGTAAGGATTCAAATCTCTGATTTATAATTAAAATTATATTTTGATAATGTGGATAATTTCTACAATTAATTAGCCATGAAGTACAGAAGTTAGTTTATGCGATTCATTGAATTAAAATCCTCATCCAAACAACTAAATGCCAAGGTTAGAACCAAAACGCTGTGTTTATGTGAATGTTTTTTTAGCGTAAGAAAGTACTGTTGTCACATTTTAAAGAATTATTCAAGTTGTGAATATATCAAGAATCTGTTGTAAGAATAAAATATCACAGAATCAGAGGACGACGGTTTCTTGTGGATTCCGTCTGTTTGTTTTAATTAGTGAAACGTATTTCAAAGAAAAGCCGGTCATGTTGTCTTCATTTTATTTATTTTAAAAGAGTGTTTTATTTGATTTGCACTCCAGGGATAAAGTATAAACAAGAAATGAAAAACGTGGAATTGTAGGACGATATCGGATTAGATAAATGCATACAGAAGGATGAAATATGAATTATAAAAGAACATCGAATTGTCTTTATGACAGATGAGAGCTTTTCCATTTAGATGATTAACCTAAGATAAAACTTTTGTATCAAATATATTACATTAAAAGGTAGTGTCATATAAGATGAATTAACACACTTTAATAATTAAACAACAAATTTAGAATACATTACCAATTATAATGTTGAAAGTGCATAATGTTGCGTAGTCTACCTATGTATAAAAATAATAATGATGAAGTAAGATGTGATCATTATTATTCGACCTAAACTAGCATAAAAAACATAGTAATGACCATATGACCGTGCAATATTTTATCATGAAGTCGAAAGTTCAATACTATTACATTTTATTAACCGGATAAACAAAATACCAAGAACGTGGATTGAACCGATTAAATTATTAAACAATTTAAAACCATAAAGAAGCTAATTTGCATAACAGAATTAACTATCGTACATTACTGCTACTCTTTATAAGTTTATTTTTTTCTTATTTATAAAGTAAGGATCCAGAAAAAGCAAACTTTCTCTGGATCCTCATCATCTGTATCTATATACAGGAAATCCTAGTTAATTCGAACTCGGATAGTTCGCAGTCCCGTTAGTTCGTAACTGTACTCTTATTCCGGCTGGAGATACACAGATTTACATGTTAAGAAATTCGGTTAGTCCGTAATTCGAAGTGAAAATTCTGTCCGAACTGGATGTGCGTGCGTTAACTCGTTCGTTTAGATCGAGGTACCTGCATGCTGTTAGAGAACAATACATCATGAATAACTCTAACTTGGTCAATACGCTTTTGCTTTTATAGTAACACCTTAAATATGGACTACCGTTTTTTTCTCTTGTCTCATAAAATACGGCTTGGTTTAGCCTACGGGTTGCAAGATTGGGCTACAAGTATCTTTAGTTTATTTATATTATTATTTAATATTAATTATTAATTAACGAAAATAGCTTTCTGTATAAGTAGACGTATTCTGTTTGCTTAATAAATTGCATCAGTTACATGACATTTGGCATATTATGCAGAAAAAATCTTGGATAATTCGAAGTCGCGGATATTTCGTCTCCTGAATTTCGAACTAACGAGATTTCCTGTATAATAACATTTCGGAGTAGGGGTCAAATTATTTTGTCTGAGTAAGAATTCAACATTGAAAGTTGTTTATAGATAAAAGGTAATCTTTGTAAATCAATTTATCCAAAAATCATTAGAAAATCAATCTAACTCAGAAAATCAGATATTACTATTATGAATATAATGCATGATGCAAATTTATTTAAATTTTATAGAACTTATAGAACAGAAACTCTACGTATTTTTTCTGGTGTTTTCTTTTCGGATCGGAACTTTTTTACGAACGACAACGAACTTTGTTTATGTCGAAAGTGTTCGTTCTTACGACTTCCATTTGGAGTTTCACAGATTTCCTTCCATGCATTTTCTTTCCTGAAATTGCCATAATAAAAATTTACGAAATGTAAATAATTGAGTGCTGCTGAATTAAACCTATTAACTCCTCGATCATCGATCATTTTAAATAAAAACAAATCACAATCGTAAACAAAAAATTTCTAGCAAACAAAAACAAGCGCATGTTTACATGAATGAACAATAAAAGGAAGTTGTCAATTCTCCCGCTTGCCGTTTCCGATTACTCAAAGTATTCCCTACACAGGATTTTGAAATCTAATGTAATGAGCTGAAAGCTTTAATGATGCATCCCGGATTGTATTCGAACGAGAATCCTCCATCCTAATTGGACGATGGTAAAAATGCCCAGTTAGCAAAATAAGTCACCCGGCATTGACAATGAAAAAACATCCAATTAAAATCTATAAAAATAATTCAAAGGTATACAACTTCTTTGTAGCCGCCGGATACGTAATTTTTCAGGTTAGGTAACTGAACCCAGGAAGTGTTTGCGTGTATGAACCACGTTTGTGGGTGTCTATGGATTTAGATTCAAAATATCTTTACAAATTTTACCCGTTATTGTCACAAAAAAAATGTTGCTTACACAGTTGATTCTTCCACTCTTACTGATAATCTCACGAAGACGTTTGTTTTTTCTTCAGATCAGCAGTTTATATAATTTCACTGCGAAGTTCGGTCGGTGCCGGACCCGGGATGATGTGGATGAAAGGGATCACTTAGTTCTTGAAATAGAGAACCGCCGAGCAACGGAGTGTTCGATATATTTTCTTCCGAGTCCCTCGGTGATAAGGTGGGGTTGGAGAGAAGCGTGGTATGGCCTTGAGATGCGGGTTTATATAAATTTTAACCGCGGACTGACCAATTTAATTGATTCCCATTCCTTCTCGTTTCTCCTCGATTGGCCTCTGTTCCAGGTAGAACGAGACCAATCGAGGAGAAACGAGAAGGATTGGGAATCAATTAAATTGGTCGGTCCGCGGTTAAAATTTATATAAACCCTCATCTCAAGGCCATACCACGCTTCTCCGACCGTTCTTCTAAAACCACGCTTCTCCAACTTTTTATCTCCAAATCGCTTTTCGTAAGATAAACACAACGCGAAGAGCTTTCCTTTCCCAAGTGGAAAACTTTTAAACAAAGTTTTAATTCGGACCTCGGACCTTATCCGGAATCTCATAATAATAAAAATGAAAAATGTAAGTTTACGTTTATACGTCATCTTTCATTTTTTAAACTAAAAAATTCCTTAAACGTTGTATAATGTTGTTTAAATATAAAATATTGTAAATACAAAACATTTTCAACGTTTCAAATTGAATTTATAAAAGTCAGTCTTTCGCAATAATAGCAATTAAGTCTAAATAGGGTATAGAAAAACAACAGTTATTACGAGTAATGAAATAAGAACACTTATTCTAAAATATGCATACGGAAGTAAACCATTAAAAATTTTACATAACTCTATCGTGTACTTTGGGAGACCGAGTCGTGGACGAGCGATATCAGCAGGAGAATTGGCAAATGATAAGTTGGAAAGTTTAACAGATGATTTGTTTTAGAAATTTTTTAATGACTTTGATTATAAGAGTATTAGAAGTAGTAGCCCATAAACATAGACGAAAATCAATGGTCCTTTGAAAATTGGTAAAATATAAGTCGGAAGCGCGAATCATTTATTTCATAGAAAGAATTCTTAGACTCCTCCGTATGATCGTCCGAGATACAAGATCCGGACTTCCAGGATTTAAATCCTTGACAGACGAATAATATCGCTGTTGTAAGACAACGACGGTGCTAGGGAGAAGCTATATATATCGTTGAGCAGGTTGAGTGAGTTTCCTCTGTTCGCCAGATTTCTGGAAAGACAAGTCGAAGAATCTTACATTGCGCTTCGATCCTAAGGCAGATTTAGCAGTACTGAGAGTTCGAAGTATCAGGGAGAGAGATCTGTAAGATACGAACTGTGCGAAGTAACAATCACGAAACGGGCTTCGTGGAAAGAAATGGTGAGAGATAAACTGCGAAATAAAAGGAACCTTTGCGAAAAGGCACAGGGAACTCTGTGACCTCAGAGTACGGGTTTTTAGAGTTCGCCGAATTCAGATGCCAACCCGAGATGTTCACTAGTTTTTGAGACGTTCACCTTTAAATTAAATTGTGTATTTTCTCTCGACAGCGAAAATTTCTAATCGTTCGTTTTTGAAGAATTTATTAATGTAATTTGACCCATCCGGATTCGGTCCTGGGTCTTTCAGAGCGTTTCACTGTCACCGTAACCGTTCGGCCATCGTCCGGTCCTTGAAATTTGTTAGAAAACGTACGTAATGTGTACACATACAAGCAGCGCCAAATTTTTCCTGAGTGGCTGAATTTAGAAACTTAACTTTATCTCTGAAAATTGAAACGGCATACTCAGGACACTAATAATGCCAAAATAGTTGAGATTTTCTCAGAGAACGTCTACTTTTTAATATGGTAACGCTGTGTATCCCTGTAAAATTTATTCTAAGTATCGAAGATGTTGGAATCGCCAATGTTTTTTCTAATTAAAAATTATACGATTGTTTTTATAACTGTTATAACATAAGAATTAAGTAAATAATAATAATTTTCACTTTAATTTATGCAAAAATTTTGAATATTTTAATAATTGCATGAAAACATACTAATTAAAAATTTTTTAATATAAATTCTGAATTATAAAAGAAAACGTGAATAGCATTGCATTTTAAATTTAATGAACTCCGTAGGTGTAATTTTAATCTTGAAAAATTGATTAATTCCCTTGACAGGTAATTAAAAATGACAAAAATTCAGATTAAGATATATTTTCATTGTTTCTCTCTTTTTTTCCCCTTTTGCAGTTTCATTTTTGGAATGTGCTTCTGATCTTAGAAAATTTTCTTATTTCTCGTAACTTTCAAATGGCGATGTTAGTCAACATTTCTTTCGAGAAAAGTGTCGAAAAACAAGACGTCTGTCCCACCGAAGCTAGATGGGTTATCAAAAATTATGCACGGAACATCTATGGTAAGCCAGTCAAAGTGCTTCAACGCTACTCTCTGAACAGAACTCTAGTTTATCAATATTTCTATGAAAAGCACTGTAGAAATTGGTTTGGCGAAGGAACTGAAATGGACTATGGTCGTGAAGGAAAATGTAAAGGTATTAATAATCAGGTAAATTCTTTTCTAATTTTTTAATGGAAAGCTTTATTTAACACTGCTTATTGTTTAATGTGCTATTATTTTATTTAGATTTCATAATGTTTTCTTTTATGAAAAGTGCTTTATAGATCTACATCATTAAGTTGTTATTTGCTAAACTGATTCTAATTATAGAATTAAATCAATAACAATGCATAAAACAATATCTATTAATAGAAATGCGGTGATCGATAGCACATTATTATTTTTATCTAATTAATTCTTGTTGATACTGATATATTTGTACTTATATTAGCTAGTCGCAGGTTCGAACCTTGCCACATGGAGTTTTCCGAGTTTTCACTGTCTAAGACACGTGAAGAAAACTCTAGATGGGCAGTCCGTTGGTGAAACTCGAACCCACGATTAACTACCAAATAACTAATATTTCAGTAGTTTTGTCCAATCCTCTGGTCAAGGCCGGCCTTCTCTATAAACATTTTGGGGCCCTAAAATATTTTTTTAAGTAAAATGATTCGAAATAAACGTTATTATGTAATGTGTATTTATTTCAATATGCGATTTTTTTACCATGTCATTAATCATTTCAGAAAAATTCCAATTTTTTGACAGTTTCCTTTTCGATGCTTAATTAATAGCAAGTGCATTTAAGCGTTTTTCACACATACTTGACCGAAGATAATTCTTTATTAATTTTAATTTGCTAAAAGAACGCTCTGCTCTTGTTATAGTCTAAAAATATGTTAAAATTAAAAATGAAATCCAAAATTTAAGAACAAAATTTATTTACTAAATTAAAAGCAGAGATAAGAACAGTTGTTTTTTGCTTAAAATAGTTTGTTGATACTATTAATTTTTGACAATATTGTAAAGCATATTGATAAGCTTAAAATAAATGGCATTTCTTGTAATGAATCCAGTAAATCTTACTGCTACTTAATGTATGTTATCGTTACTTGCACCAATAAATTCTTCTAAGGCATTATAAGTTTATTAAAACTGTGTAGACATTGCTTTGACTTCATCTATTTTGGCTTTCCTTCGAGTATCACATAATGGTTTAAGCGTAATATATAAAAACTTAAATATTTTGTATAATTTTCCATCTTTTTGTAGATACAGAAAATACGCAGTATAAACGTTGCAATATTCGGACAAAGTTTTCACAATTTATACTACTGGAAGCAGAATCACAAATTAACAAATTAAAGGAATGTGATAAGCAAGGTTCATAAATTTCACGAGAGTTAAACTAATTATTCTAGATTATACGCCTTTATATTTTCCCTTCATATTGCTACCGTTATCGTATGCTTCACCTCTACAATTCATAATATCTAAATCATACTCACCTATTCCTTTTAAAAGCGCATTTGCTAGTCCTTTACCAGTCACATCATTTACTTCAATAAACCCTATAAATGATTCATTTTTAATTAATTTTTTGTCTACAAAATTTACATATTTAATAATTATTGAAGTTTGTTCCTCGTGAGAATTATCAGGAGTACAGTCCATTTGGATACTGTAATAGGCCTATGTGGCTGCTTTTAAATCGTCTTTAATTTTATTAAGGACTTCATTACGTAAAGCAGCAACAATTTCCTCTTGAGATCTACGCGCCAAATGATACACAACTCTTTTTCGTATTTTTAATTCTGTTTATATGATCCATTAGCACAGTGTCATATTTAGTTAATAATTCTATTAAACTTAAAAAATTTACATTATTCTGCTTTCCTATTATTTTATGGAATCCTCGAAATGGCAGATTATTACTTGCTAAAAATAGAATGGCATCTACAATTCTTTGAAATAGTAATTTTAGAGATCTTGTTTCTTTATCGATCTTCTCTTATCTTGTTTCTTGATCGATCTTTTTTTTTCGAAAATAATACATAATAAAAGCAAAATACCGGGTCTTGAGCTTCTGAGTAAATTAACCAGTTGCGAAGCATGTTTTACCATTTGGCATTTTTTTAAATAGTACGATGTAGAAAATGATCTACCTTCAACATTCTTAACGAAAGCGTCTTGATGTTTAGGTCCGATTTTAATATAAAATAATCTAAACTTATCAGTTATAATATTTGACCACCAACATATTCACTTGATCACTATCGTTATTATCGTTTTCACATTTACTATATCCAATACGTTTGTATAATCAGACGCTTTTTCGACGAATTCCAGTCTACGTTTTCGTAGCTCGTTTGGCGTTTTCTTCTGCAGTTGAAGTTTGAATCGCAACTGCTGAAGTTGTGGCAATTTTGTTGTCAGATTTATTTTGTAGCCATGAAAAAAAACGTACTTGTGACTTTTTGAGATTTTGCTTTTCTTCTTTTTTTTCTTTTCTACTAATTTCCTTTTTTGACATCCAGAGGAATACTTACTTGGCATGCACATTATGGGTTTTAATAATAATTATTATTTTTATTCCATGAATTAGAAAAACGTTAAATATGTAGCTTACCTTTTACAATATTTTTCAACAATACTTAATGGTGTGTTTATTTTTTCGTTTGTGTACTTCAGTTTCACTCTTATCTATCTCCTCTGGTGGATTAAAGATGATTTATTAAAGGGATTCAAACTGCTTTCGTTGGTTCTACATCATCTCATTTTTATTAATTAAAATAAACCTGTGTGTTTATACGCTGAACAGATTCACTTACACGATTATTTTATTTATCGTTTATTTATATTTTCAATTTAGAAATATGGATAAAAATTTAAGTAAAAAATAATATAAAATTTGCCCGATTTTAAATATTTTTGCGTTATTTTTATAATAAATTTTAGAGATGTTGACAGATTAAAAAGAATTTTATATCAAAATGAAAATGCAGTGTATATATCCACAAAAAAATAAATGTGAATTTTATTTTTTGTGTAGGCCGAACATTAAAAGTTTCTTCTAATATTTTTAAACAAATATTTAAGCTTCGATTGTCTACTTTCTGAAGCTTGACCATCGTCAATATTTGTTTTAAATGCCGCCATATATTAATGTTAAAAGAATTATATTTGCTAAATATAATTTCTGTTGGTAAATATTGCTAATTTTGATATAACTGTTTATATTAGTGTCTTGAATTTACTATTTAATTGCTGTTAGCCTATCAATTTTAAATGCTTATTTGCCTTGCTTCTTGATCTATTGTTAGTGTTTGTGTGCAGTGTCAGTTTACAGAAGTTATTTTCATTCCAGGTTATATTTAAAATTATTTTATGAAAATTGCTATTATATAAACATATGTATATTTTTTTATAATTTTATTTTATTTTTTACTAATATTTAAAATTAAATTCACAGATATGGGTATCCAGATGTAGACAACAATATAGCTGGATATATGCCAGAGTGATTAACAGTGGAGTCATCGGATGGGATTTTATAGCCATCAAATCTTCTTGTAGTTGCACTATATCTTTTCCAGATAATAACATTAAAAACGTAACTAAAAATTAATTAAAAATATCCGTTTCCTGTATTAAAACTTTATCATTTTCTGAAGTAACTTCAATACACAAATTGTTTTAAATTATTGAAATTTTAAAAGCTGCAAATGTTTTTATTTTTTTTAAAGAATAACTCTTTAAATTTCTATATACATCGATGTTAATTTGTAAGGTTGCTTCTGGATACTTTTAATGAATTAAAATTTTGTCTAAGTTTTGTGGTTTCTCGATTTAAAAATACATTTTAACAGAAACCGACTTCTCACTTTTGTTCGTGTTCTCTTGTGTAAATTACTGAATTGGTTAGCTGATGAGCTTCTTTTTTATGATCGGAAGTTTATTCTGAATGATTAAAAAAATTGTAAATTAATTTTTTTAAGAAGGAAAAGTATTGAAATGCTTAGGAATGGAATTGGAACGTGGTAATGAATAAATTTAAAACCGTTTCTTTGAAGTAACGATTGACTTTTGTAGTATCAAAATTTAAATTTTTAATATATAATAACGTATTTCCGGTATCATAAGTTGATTTTTTTATAATTTATATAAAGTGATTATATAAATCAATCTCTAAAACCATTTAAATTGTGTAAAAAAAAAGTCTCCTCCATTAAACAATTTATATATCATTAAGCAAGTGTTTGTTACTATTTTGGTCATTGTTTTTATATCGAAGTAGAAAATTAAGTATATTTAAATTCGAAATCGATAAAATAACCAAGAAAATAAACATTAAAATATCAATATAGAACTTTTCTTTTTTGGTAATAAAAGCTTTCAACGTTAACAAGTAATGGCGACAGATATTGATATATACGAAAAAATAAATAAATAAATAAATAAAATCGATTTTGTAGATTTAAAAATACTTTTCGCTGGAGTCTCGAGATACACGCAATGTGATTTTATAATTAACACGAGGATATGATAGATGTATTGTTTAGTTTTGCGGGAACGAACCCACGATTGCTATTGTATCGGTTTTTCAGTATAGAACTTCGTAGTAAACATACTAATGATCAATTCTTGCAACAAAGCACACGAATTGAAAAGTTCAAAATCTGATATACAATTAACTGATTGGAAAAAGTCTTTAAATTGTATTTATCCGACATTTTCTTCCAAGTTAGATACCAGAAAAAAGAAATCTTTTCAGAGAGTTCAAAATTCTTTTTAAAGGAAAAAAAAACCGGAATTTTTTTTTCTTTCGAAACCTATTAAATTTATAAAGTTTATTAAAGAAAATAAACTAGCATGAGATTTTAATAAAGTGTTTTTTTTTTAAGTTAGTTACGAAATAAACTTTTAAAAAAGTTTTTTTAAAGTTTTATTTTTTTAATACGTCGACAAAACTTGCGTATCAACATTCATTTATTAACGCTTAAATAGGTTAAAACTGATAGGAAAATAAAAGTGGTTTTGGTAAAATTTTATTCGAACTAGTGCTGATTAAAGATATTTTCAGTGCTCTTTTTATATTATTAACATAAGAGTAACACGATTTTTAAACGTTATTAATAATAAATACTGTGCTTTTTGTTCCGTTTTAACTGCATCATTTTTCTTCTTTTAGTTGGTATCTCGGCTCTCTTCGTAATCGTATGAATATTCTATGATAATCGTTGCTTCTGATGTCTGGAAATTGAGTAAAGTTAATTATATAATTTGTAATTTTTTTTCATTTTTCTTTCTTTTTATGCGTTTTACTTACTTTTAGCCGATCTTTTCGAGAGCAGATAATATAGATTATTGAGCCTAGTTGAAACAGATTTTGATTGATTATCGAAAGAAGGAGATAAAATGGCCGTTTTTAAGGTGCACAAAAGAAATATCGCTAATAATATGCATCTGTATTCCATCTTGATTATCTATATAGTCCCCTGGAAAATGCGTTATAGAAATTTAAGTCGCATCCTTCGTGATTGATACACATTTTAGTATTTATAGTACATATAATATTTATATAAATACACTTTAATATAATTTAAATATAAATTTAATTTTCTAAATGGTTAAACTATGAAGCACTCTTTACAAAATTTAAAACCGCTAGTAATACACGAATTATCTTTCAATTATAATATATTTAATATGAAAAATTTATTTATGAGACAGAAAAAAATTTATTTTATGAAATTTAATACTACTTATGTTATTAGAATGAGAAAAATGTCTTACCTCGTTTGAATCAACCTATCCAACTCTTAGATCCTGAACTGAATCAGGGTGCTGCTCCTTCAAAATAAATCTTCTAGTTTTCATTTCATCGAGTGTGCATGCGCGAAATGCGAATTTCCTCCTCCTCTTCTGATGGAAACCAAACTACTGAAAGTATAAAATAACTTATCTTCATCATCATCTATTCATGGATTTAATAATAATATAAATCCGCTTCCAATGCTGAATTTCGTATAAAATCCCTATCTATAATTAAATATCCCACACCTGTTATATTTTCCACTATTTTTTACATCACACTCAACTGTTATATTTATAAAAATTGAAAATTTGACGATTTACTGAATAGTAGTAATCTCATTTTCTGAACTTAAGATTAAATAACACGTATTAATTGCATATAAGTTATTAAACTCGTACTAAAGAACTTAATTTACGGTAAGTATTTACTTTAAATAATAAACCTGTTGATATAATAAGTTTCTAGTAAAAATTTATAAGCTATTTTAAAAGATTATTTCCATTTTTTTTTTATTTTAAAAGGAATTTTATTAGTAAAAGAAGCAACAGATAAGTATAAGGTTACATTATAAACATTGGAAATTTTATTAAGAGATGAAATTTGCTTCTTATGTACACGTGTATTAACCTTTTTTATTGTCTAAATTGGAAAAAAATATAGTTTTAAATGCTTAAAATGTGAAGAAAAATGTTTATTTAAATGCATACTAATATAGAAAGACACTATCACGGAGGAGGAAAATTATATATTAAAAATTTTTAATTAAGAAATTTTTATAAAATATAAGCAGTTTATGAATAATTTACTAAAAAGAAATGAAAATTTTTATTTAAGAATTTTATCACATTTAAATATTTACATATAATTATAAAGGAATTAACGAAAGTAACTAGATTATATACTTCTAATTAATTTAAGTATACTTAAGTTTTAAATATAGATATTATTCGATTATGTTTTAAGATAATATCTTTCTTTATTTAAAATTCAATTGTTATAATTACTTAATTTTTTTCCATAAAAAAAATTACGGCCGATTAATTAAATTTCAGATAATATTTAAAAGTTTAGAAATTAATTAAAATAATTATTTATATTTATGTAAAGTATATTTTTCCGGAATAAAAACCTAGAAATAAAGAAGAATTAAATATAAATTTGAATTTTATTTACATTTTAAGTAGGCTTTAACGTTTAAAACTAATTTAAACTGGATAAAATGACTGCCTTTGTTATATGTATAAAACAAATAAACTTTATCATAATAGATATTAATGAGAATTCTCTTCAAATAATTTTATTTATTTTATAAATGTTTAAAATTTCTTCTTTCCTTTTCCTGTTTACCAATGCTTTATACACTCTTTTCTAATTTTATTTTGTTAAATTTTGTATATTCGGGTTTAATATCTTAAAACAATTTTATCTCAAAAAACCTAATGTATATAAAAATTTATATAATTTTGTAAATGAATAAAATATAAATTAATAAATTTTAAGGCATTTTAGCCTTAAAAATTAAGGCATTAAAAAGTTGTAAAATCACTATAAGTGTGGTTACAAGTTGATGTGATAGACTCTTAATAATAGAAATTAATTTACAAAATAATAGAGTAAAAAGCTTTTTAATTAAAATTTTATATATTTAACGATGACGAAATTATATAATCAAACGAGAAATAAGCAATTTTTATTTAAAACTAACTAAAATTAATCTGTTATACTATATATTGGGCTGCAATTTTAAAAAATTATAGACCTATTAATTCCCACGGTCATTTTGTCTGTCGTTCCTTAATTTCGAGAACGGAGATAGATGGATAAAAGCCGAGACCCTATATGGAAATCTTAAGGAAAGGAGATCCCGATTAACTATATAAGAATGTCTGGTACAAACCGTAAGTCACGTTATTTTCAATTTAAAAATTTTTCCCTGAAAAATGTTAGATAGATGACGGGCACTACTCTTGTTAAAAGAAAAGTATGATGTAAGGGGCAGGACACTAATAATTTGAGGTGGAGAGCATATATTTTAAATTAAATAAATTAGAAATGTGATGAAAATTATAGCCCAACATTGTCACGATGTCACAACAATTTTTTCTCGTTTTTACTTTTAAATTATCTTTTTTTCTACTTTTTAAACTAAAATTTTTCTTTTCTTTTATTGAATCACTCCAAAAAATCAAAATTCTATATGTTTTTCCTATATTTTATGATTAATTTAAATATTAAAATGATAGTGAAATTGCGACTTATTAAAAAAAATCTTTAAAAAAAAAAAACTAATTTTAAAAATGAAGAATTTTATAAACTTTTATAATTTATTTTCTAATAAACAAAATTTAATATTTTAAATTTTATAAATTAGAAAAGTAAAATTGTAATATTAAAATATATTTTATTNTAAAAATTAGTATAAATTTTTAATAAAATATATATTTTATAATTAAATTGAAACTAATATTATGAACATTTTTAAAGATTTCATTTCTTTTATAATTGGATATATGAGACGTTACTATAATTAAATCGAAAGAAACTTTAATTAATGAGTATTAAACATATTTTTTATTCGCGGAAAGATGTTTTTATTTAAAAATTTATATTAGATTTTAAAAATAAAAAAACTAAAAGGAGAAAAAAATTAAAACTCTTTTCGGATGAGATTTGCATACTTAAAAATATATTATTTACTAATTTTCTATATATTTTATGTAAATTTCACTCACTTTAATAAGAAAATTAATCTAATTTATTTGAGTTTTGCGAAAAATCGGATTATTAACGACCTTATAAACAGGTAAATTGAGTAAAAATCATTTGTTGAATTCGATCTTTTTTAACGTTTTTCTCGATAATAATTCTAAGTATTTATAATGATATTTTATCGTTTAAAATAATTATTTAAATAAATAAACTTTGTTATGATCCTAAGCTATAACATATAACAGACCCTTTCTCGCTATTAAACAATGTTAGAGCCTACATAAAATGTGAGGTCCTAAGCAATTTGTTTTGCTGATGTACAAATTCAGCCCTGTTCTTACTAAATTTTAATTATTTTGTATAAAAATATTTTATATATAATATGAATTTTTAGAGTAAGGTAGGGACCTCATTATAGCTGAACAAGTTTGGACTATTATTATACAGAGCCTTGGAAAAATAACTGGAGTCGATTATGGTGGGCCA